CTTCTTGCCTCCCCCCAGCTGTGTCCACTACTCCTGCGAAGCCACCAACTGCCAGAAGCTGGAGATTGAGCATGCACTGCTGGACTGCTCCGGTGGCGGGTGGTACAATGGAGCCCAATGCAACGTGAGCTGCAAGGCGGGCTACACTCTGCAGGTCCAGCGGGATGATGATCTCAGCAAGAACCAGGTTTGCTCTGTCGGTTTCTTGTCACCCACAAAGCAGGGATGAGCAAAGAGATGTGAAGAGATTGAGAAATATGTGAGTCTAAACCCCAAAATCTCAGCTCAGCCCTTGGGATGGGGCCTTACCCAAGTACTTCTCATCAGAATAGGAGCCATCTGACTGTGTAGGAGGAGGGACTGACAGTGAGCAAAGCTCAGATGTCCCCCAGATTTAGAAGTTTTCAGCCCAAAAGGTTTCAATATGTGTTCGGGCCTTCTTTGATCTCACTGGTTTTACTCAGCCAAACAGTGTTTCTTAGGTTGGTTTTGGGGGGTGGGGTGTTTGTGGTTTTGCATAACCAGTTTCTGGGCAAAATACCTCATTTTGTCCCTTGGGTTGAGGCTAACAATGTCTTAACTCCTTTACAGGGTTTCAGTCCATCTGCTCCCAACCACACCCTGACACTGCAGAAATGCATGGGAGCAAGGGGGTTGAAAAAGCACCCAGACCCCTTTGCTTCCAAACAAAGCATCAAAAACCTCCTCCCAGTGAGCCAGGGAGTGCTCCCCACCTTCTCTAAGTCATGCATTAGTAATCCAGTCCTACCAAAGCAGCATGTCTTGATGCAGTGAGTGGGATATTGAGGAAAACTATCAATTTCTTCAAACCTTAATATAAAATGCAGATCCTTTGTGCTGGGGGAGGTGGATGAGGTGTATGTGATGAATGGCGCACCCTTGGCATGCCATTGGTAGCAGGGTTCAGGGCAGACACCCCAGTCTTTGAGCAGGACACTGGGGTGGTTTCCCCCATCTTCTCACATGTTGTCTGGGCAGCACACACACATGTAGGGCTGGGAGGGCTGGGGCAGGCAGTGTGCTCAGCAGCCCGTCTGTATTTGTGTTCTTCATGAGCTCACAGAGGGGGGAGCCAGAGTGGAGGGGAATGAGTCAGCCCTTTCAACTCAATTACAAAACAAATACAGGACCCTGTGAGCTGGGCCTCTTCCATCCTAATTGGCATCAGCACCAGAACCCCAGCTCCAGCTGAGCATTTTTACACAACAGAAAACAAGTTCTCAAAGGAGCCGGAATGGCTGAACCAGGAAACACTTGGAAGGGATCTGTACATTGAGCACACGGGAGTCCCAAACCAAATAAAACAGCCTAAACATGTTACTTGCGTTCAGAAAGCACCTTTTGGAGATGCTCAGCCAACTGTATATGGTTTTGCTCTGAGAAGTTTGGTTTCAGAGCCTTGATCAGACTCATGTGACAGGAGTGGAGGATTTTAGCACCCCTAGCTAACGTGATTCACTGCCTATTACAACATGCTTCCTCTCACCCTGGTCTACTATTGCACTTCATCGTCTTTTTTCCACCAATAAAACCCCTGAGGCCGATGGTTTTGTTTTGCAAATGGAGCATCTTAAAGACATCCGTGTTCAGCTGAACACATTAAACACATGCTTTAAAAAAGTATACTCATGTGCTTTGGAGATCTGTTGAAAAGGAGCAGACAGTTTCTTTCACTATCCTCTTTTTTTTATGTCTTTGTGTCAGGTGCTTCAAATAAGAACTTCTGGAACATGTAGGCAAGCAATTAATTATCCAAGAAAGTCCAGAATCCATGGCTTAGATTCCTCATATTGTGTTGTATCGAATTGCATTGTTCTCCTTCCACAATTCCTTCAGCTCCTCTTCTGATCACAAGCACTTGGAGAGGAGATAGGGCATTGTGGGTTGTTATCTATGGTCGGAGGGGCCTTCTGCTGTGATTGAGGGACCTTGTGCTGATTGTCGGTTGTTTCACTGTTGTCATTCAGCTGGGTAGTTTGCTTGTTGGACTGATTTGAGGATCTAGAGCTTGTTTTGTCTCATTTAACTGACAGCGTGGGAGGCTACATGAGGAAGAGGAGGAAGGAAAGCAGTTCTGCTGATGTTTCATACTCTTGGGTAGGAAGGAGGCTGAGGTGAGGTGCAGTGTCTCAACGAGCAGACTGAACATCAGCAACCCATGACCACCACATGCTGATGAAGATGACACCCTGGTTTAGCATCTGAACCACATTTGTCTTCTGTATTTCACCGAAAGGCAGAGGAAAAAGGGGTGAACAGAGAATTAAAAGCAAAAGTTTCAAAAGCACCTCAGAGATGCAGGGGCACAAGTCACATTTCAAATCAGCCTTTTACATCTGAGGGGGCTTTGAAAATCTTCTTAACAGTTTCTGCACTTTCTGGCCTCTGTGTCTTCTGAAGCCACCATTTTAATCAGGCTTAGGGCAAGAAATTCATTCATCTCTGCTCTCTGAGAAGCTCCCATTCCAAATTCTGTTCAAACTCCATAAAATCACCAAACCCTAAAACCCATCAGCACCATGTGCAGGAGAAACTGTTCGCAAATACAAAAAAGCTGAGCTGTTTGCAGGCTCTTGGGCTCTCTAATCCCCATTGAGGGACTTCAGCAACAACATGAACGAAAAAAGGTTTTCATAGAGATGGAGCAAAATCCTTCATGTGCCTTTCTCACAAAGAAGATCTCAGGATGTTTTCATTTCCCCCCGATTCCTTCCCACCCCCCTGACAACTCCAATGCTCTTTCTTCTCTTCTTCCCTTTTTCCCTCTTTGTCTTTCACTGCTCTCCTCTTGTCCTTCACTGAAAGTCCCGCTCATTCAGTTACTTGTTGTCATCTCTCCTTGAAGCTACCACCACTGCTGCTCTGGTCAAGAGGTGTTATTTAAAACCCAGCAGCTCCCTAATGTTGTGCAAAGGCATCATCAATCATGCCAGGAAAAGAAAGCGCGGCTCATGTGGGTTCAATTAGAGGCACAGTAGTGGGCAGAAGTGGAAGAATACTTAGAGGGGAGGGCACAGCTGTTCATTTTTAAGGAGAGGAAACTTCACACGTGAAACATCGCTGGAAGAAGGAGCCGGCTGGGATCTTGGGCAGCAGGAAGGAGACACGAATTCTCCCAGGCTGTTAAAAGTCCCAAGGAACAAATCTTTCTGGCACCAGATTAGTTTAAGTTTGCATCCTCTTCGCTGTATCTTTGGAGGCCCTTTTTGTCCTCTTTTTCTCCTCCTCGCCCGCCCTCCCTCCTTGCGTAAGGTTCTTTTGGAAGGCAGGACATGAAGGGAAGCGGTTGCTGTGATGCCAGTCAAAGCAGCACAGAGTGCCCAAAGTGACAGCTAATAAACCAGATGAGAAAGCCAAGCGCTTCGTGTGGACTGCTGTGAGCTGGGTGACCTTGTCAGATCAGACAGGCGAAACAGGCATGTGCCTGCTCAGGCTTCGGGTGGGAGATCTGCAAAGGCAGATGCAGATGCTGCTGCTAACACCCAGCACTGCTCGGGCCAAATCAACTGGAAATACCCCTGAGGTTCAGCGCGGTGTTGGGGAGAGATGAGCTCCGGCTCAGCAGCCTGGGGTCCTGCCCCTGGGCACTGCAGTGATCCCACCTTCAGGTGGGACATCACAACAGGGACAAGCTGAAGGCTGGTGAGTGCCATCTGCAATGATTTCCGTGGTAGGGTTGTCCCCTGTGCTTTCAATCAAAGCCACTGGTCTTTGTCTCCATTGCAGGGAATGTTCTGTTACGTTCTGCTGCAGAAGTGCATGTGCTCCTATTGCTTGAAGTGATGACATGATAGACATGCTCTAAAATGCACCATTATTATGTCTGACCTTGAAAACCTCAGCTTCCATCATACAAAGTGTGGAACAAATTACTGGGAAAAGCTGAGAAGCCAGGATCTTACCCACACAGGCACAGCTCCTCTATGTGGGAATGGCCTTGCCAGTGTGCTAGGAAGAGGAAAAGCCATATGGGTTTGGAAGGAGGGGACTCCTCCAGATTTGGTTTAGTGTTTTTGTTGGGAAAGTACCATAGGGCAAAACCCCATGTTAGCTTTCTGCTAAAAAAGACCACGGCTGCAGCTGAAATAGTCTCACAATTGTTAGCTTGGCCCATTTTCCATGAGCTGTGACTCTCATGCACAGATATTGCTTCTGTTTAAATGGTTGTGTTGCATTCCAGATCCTGAATTTGCACCTTTTTTTGGTGTTCTGTAGAGGTGCATCTGATGTGCAGTCTTACCATCAGAGAAACTCCCTTGTGCACCATAGTGTGTCTCAGCAGCCAGTATCAGCTGGCAGGAACTATCATTTATTCCTAAACTAGATCACACCAACACCAATAACTGAAACCTCCTATCACTTCCTTGTGCTTAGTGTGGATTCAGCATCCAGCAAGATCCAGTGCAAGACCCATGTCTTTCCCATCACATTTGGATAGCCCCTGGCATCAGTAGCTTGGGTTTATGTTTTAACCTCCCGCTGCTGAGGTGCTGGAGTGTTATTTGATGATAGCATCTCTGAAGGGAAACGGAGGATTTGCTGAATGCTGGGGCAGCCGAGCCTGGAGTGTAGATGTGGTGGTGATGCTGTGCGTATGCATTATGAAGACATGGAAATACGCTGTATCATCCCTTCTGCTGTGGCCATCACACCACAACTTCCTGGAAGCACAGTCATCTTCCAGTTATCAACTGGCTACAGATTATATATACTCTTTAATGGTGCAGGTGTTCTGATTGGCAACAAAGGCAGAACTGATAGCCACCGGCAACAAAGGCAGAACTAATAGCCACTGGGGAGCAAAATGAGTGGGAATGAGAGCACAGAGTGTCCCTTCACCTGAGCGCGCCGGGAATCCCTGAATGTGCTACTCTGAGTTTGCAGAAACAACATTTTTTTCCATCAGCAGTGCTCCTGTTTAAATAAACTCCACGGTCTAGAAAAGGGGTTTTGTGCCCACTGGGGAAGTGTCCAGTTTCTCAGCTCTGGGACTGCTTTTTCCATTCTGCATGCAACCATATATCAAAGGGAGACAGGTCTGAACTTCTGTTGGAACCATTAGGGTGTTTTTGCAAAAAGGGAATCCAGGTCCCTTTGATGTGTGCTAGAAAAATTCCCCTTCCTTTTATAAACCCAGATCAATGGTCAGCGGTGCAAATCTCCCGCGAGCCTACCAGCCCTGAATAAGATATTCCCTGGAGGCAGAGCAGTGCTGCTGTACAGCTCGCTCAGATTCCTCGATGGTATCTTCCCCTTCTTGTGTTTGGGTTTCTCACATTCTTTTTTCTTCTGTCCTTCTCTTTATTCTGGTGTAGAATCAAGGGTCTTGCTTTGAGATTCTTCACTTCTGGTTGTTAATTTTCCCTTTTTAATTAGGAAATAGACGTGTTGTTTGGTCTCTTTGTTAACATCTGTTTGTCCTTTGGTCACCCAGTAAATTCTTCATCTTAGCTTTAGGTGGCTCCTTTACCACCACCACCACCACCCCCCACACCTTATTTTCTCTCTCCCTAGCACTTCAGGATTTCAATCTGCTGCATTAGAATCATAGAATAGTTAGGATTGGAAAAGACCTTAAGATCATCCAGTTCCAACCCCCCTGCCACAGGCATTGGCACCTCACTCTAAACCATGTCACCCAAGGCTCTGTCCAACCTGGCCTTGAACACTGCCGGGGATGGAGCATTCACAGCTTCCCTGGGCAACCCATTCCAGTGCCTCACCACCTTTACAGTAACGAACTTCCTCCTTATATCCAATCTAAACTTCCTCTGTTGAAGTTTTAACCCATTACCCCTTGTCCTATCACTACAGTCCCTACTGAAGAGTCCCTCCCCAGCATCTTTATCAGGCAATTCCACTGGTACAGATCATCCTCTGTAATAGATAAGAAGACATTGGATGCTTTATTAGCTTTCATAGTCCTACAAGCCTGTTAGTGAAGATTAACAAAGCATAATAATGTTTGGACTATTCCTTAAATCCATAGAAATGTAGCCTCTGTGTAGCTATGGTGTAGAGAGACTTTAGGGAAGTCACAGAACAGGCACTGGCTCTGTATTTGACCTCCCAAGTGCCAGGTAAATGTATGCGCAGGATGCTGTTGGGTCTCTCCATTGCAGGTCTCTCCAGGGAAAAGCCTGTCTCCTTGGGTATTTGGGTCCCCAGTGCCAGGACAGCAGGGTCCTGGTTTCATTTGGAGCCTTGGGGCACTCTGACAGTAAAAGCCATAGCAGCTGTCAGTATATGAACACAATGTTGACACGGCTCTGGCCACCTCCCTTGGTACCCCAGTCCAAGGGTGACTGACACCTCCTGGGAGAGCCTCAGATGGGAGTCCCAAATGGGTTCATGTCAGGTTGGCTTTTACTTCAAACCCAAGAGCGAGTTCGACTTCTGAGAAGTACACAGGGATCCCCTTGGTGTGGCTGTGTCACTGCACAGTGACAGGGACCAGGGATGGCTGTCAGCTCCAAACAGCTCAGCCAGCTTCCTGGCTTGTCTCAGGAGGCAATGCAGACAAGAGTTCTGATTATTTGTAGTGCTCTGCTGTTTATATTGAAGAGCTTTGGTTTCTCACCCCAAGTGTAACAGAAATCCATCCTGGTTCTCTGACACTCTTGTAGGAACTTGTATTTAGTAGCTGCTGTCCAAGCAGTGATGGTAGAGGTCAGACCCAGCGTTGCTTAACTTGTGGCCACATTAATGGCTGTTACTAGGCTTGGAATGGTTTTGATCTTGCTGGCTCTGGTGGCTGTAGGCATATATGTCTTTTTCCAGATGGAGTCCAGCATCACCATGACTTGCACGGATGGGAAGTGGAACAAACAGGTGACATGCGAGCCTGTGGATTGTGGTGTCCCAGACCAGTACCATGTCTACCCAGCCACCTTCAACTGCAGCGAGGGGACCACCTTTGGCAAGAAATGCTCCTTCAGTTGCCGACCTCCTGCTCTTCTGAAAGGTATCAGAGGCTGTCTATGCCGTGACCTGGGGAGAACACTGTTAGCACAGACTGCTCCTAGTAATCTGTGCAACTTCTGCTGTTGGTTTAGAATTATTCGTGATATTTTAAGTATGGAGAATTATGAGACTCTATGGGAAGGTTTATTTATATTAGAAGTTAAGTTCTTTTGCATCTCTCTATTACCTTCCTTTGACCTTTCCTTGATCAGGGCTGGCCAGGCAGTAATGACAGTGAATATTACTTCCATACAACCAAAACATGGAAAAGTCATGGGGATAAATCAAACTGAACTCTCTCATCTTCTTTCCCATGTCTTCTCTCTTCTGTGTCTATCTCTCTTTTATGTGTCCTCCATGTATTTGGAAAGGCAGGAGAAGACTGAAAAGTCCCATGTCCCAGGGGCACCATCCCCATCACTGTTTTTCCTAATCCACCCTATTACCTCTCTCCTTTTCCACACTCATCTTGCTCTCCCTCTGACCTTTCTCTCCTCTTCTTGTTTGTGACTCTCTACAATTGTTTATTCCTTAAAAATAACACACTCCACTGCCTTCTTTCCTTTCCTCCGCCACCTTCTTCCCTGCTGCCTTTCTGCAAGCATCCCCATCATTCCCTCAGTGCTATCAACTCTCCTGCTCACTGGCACATTACCCTTTTTTGATCTGGTCCTCAGGAAACACAAAAAGATTTCATTGCTCATTTGAAAGAACTTTACAGCCAAATGCACTTGTCATCTTGCACTGGAGTAATCTCAACTGCTGTTGCCAACCCAGGTACAAAGGCTGTATAAGCTGTTCTGTACACGTGGTATCACCTTTTCTGCTAGGATTCATTGCAGATCTCCAAAGAGGCATGGGAAGTATTTTTCATTTCAGTGAAGGGATATGTTGATTTCTTCATATATAACTAAATTGCTTAATTCTTTTACCTCTGATTTAGGAGGGTAACCACAAGCAGCCAACACACAGTGAAAGTTGAAACTACTTAGATGGAGATTTTTATCAAAGAATTCCCTTTTTCTGTTCCTAAAGGTCATCTTCAACAAGAGGTGGTTTTTTTCACTGAAAATGCCTGGAATTTTTTGAGGGCAGCAGTGCAAACAACGACACTCATCATGACCAACAACAGCTTTAGCTGATGACATTGATGGGGGGAGCTGGAGGGATGATAGCCAACCCCCTGCGAGGGTGTGCAGCTCTGGTGTGTAGGATCACTACCCTTTTGTCCTGAAACCCTGTGAGCTGTGAGGTAAAGGCACCATTCCGTGTAGAGCCATGGGTGATGACTAATAGATGTTGCCACTAAGCTTCTGGAGAATGGCGTTGGAGTGACTCATGCCTAATTCAATCACTGACGTCATGACAGCCACTGTTGGTAATGTCACAGCTTATCACTTTGCAGTGGCAAGTATGATATCACCGTGGCTGGTCTGCAGAGCTGCTGCATGAGTCAGAGCAGAGGAGCATGCTGGTGCTCTAGAAAAGAGCTCCCTTCAGCACAGAGTGCCTCTGCAATCATCTGCAGTTGGGGAGGGGAAAGAGAAAGCCAGGCCTGATTGAATGCAGCTTCTCTTATCTTTGTGGGTAGGGCAGGAGGGCTCCTCTACATACCTTCCTGAGCCCTCCAGAGCCTTTTGTTTTCTTCTCCTTTGAATTCCAGTCTTTTCCTTTCCTCTCGGAGAGATGGCATTGCTCTGGGGTTAGCAGTTTGTCAGTATTATTTGGGATAACTCCTGAAGTTGGCTTAGTGTTGAAAATATGCCTTGTGGGTTGAGAAGAGTTCCTGCAGCAATGCTCGGGGATTTCAATAGAGTATTAGGGATTTTTGAAGGGTTAGTGGCTCATAGCTGTGCTTTGTTTCTTAGGAAAAGCTTATTCCTTTTCAACATACAATATAAAATAACAAAGAATGTAAAATACACTGAGACTAGGCTACTTTTAGCTTAACCTTCTGAAGTCAAGTAGGTCATAGCAGAGGCAAATAGATCTATTGTACCTTTTACCTTTGAGGTGCTGGCCAAGAAAGCTTCCTAAGGAAAATGAGTCTCTAATGAGTATTATGAATCGTATTTATCACAGTAGTCCCCAAGGACTGACTGTCCCCAGCTGAGGATGGCTCCTCATTGTGTTGGAGTAGTGACTCTAATACTAACAGATGCTGCTCAAAGAGGCTCAAAATTGAAATAAAAAGGACAGATTCAGGGAGGAGATAGAACACAGAAGTAGAATGAAGAATGTAATGGAACCAAGTGCTCTGTTAATGCCATGACTTTGGAGAGGAGGGGGGTGATGTACGAAGCAAGCTTCATTGCAGAGAAGAACAAAAATAAGGAAGAGAAACACAAAAGATTACAAAGACAGCATGGTTTCCCCTATCCTATAGTGTTTCCTGAAATGAGCACTGCCTGCCTGTCATCTGAAAACAGAGTCCTTAATGATTTAATGCCATCATAGAGAAAATGCATGACATACACAGCTGAATTTGTCAACCGAGGTGGCTTTTGATGTATTATGGGTGTAACAACATGTCAGAAAGAATGGTCCTGCTGGACGTTGTTCACTTTGCTCTCTGCTCTTCTCAGGAAACAACAGCAACTTGACCTGCATGGAGGATGGGCTGTGGTCCTTTCCGGAGGCCCTCTGTGAGCTGATGTGTCGAGCACCCTCCATTGTCCCTAATGCAGATCTCCAGACAAGTCGCTGCCGAGAAGATAAGCACAAAGTGGGCTCGTTTTGCAAGTACAAATGCAAACCAGGTTACCATGTCCCTGGATCCTCCAGAAAAGCAAGAAAGTACGTGCAGGAGTAAAGCCATGCCATCAGTATGATTCAGAAAGCCATGAGCTAAAATTATTTTGAGAAAGGGATGGGCTGTTTCAAACAGACTATGTGTGCTGTAGGGAATATCACTGAATATTTGGTGAGGCGCTGGCACAGGGTGCCCAGAGAAGCTGTGGCTGCCCCATCCTTGGCAGTGTTCAAGTCCAGGTTGGATGGGGCTTGGAGCAAGCTGCTCTAGTGGAAGGTGTCCCTGCCCATGGCAGGAAGGTGGAACTGGATGAGCTTTAGGGTCTCTTCCAACACAAACCATCCTATGATTCTATGAACAATTATTTCATGCAGTTTCAAGGGGATTTAGGCACCTTCCTCACTTAGGTTTCCTTGAAAATCCTAACCACTGCTCAAAACCAGACCTTACCTTTGTAATACCCCTTTGATACGGAGTCTGGGGAGTCCCCTCTGAAGCTCTACAGGAAAGAGTTAGTGCTATCATATGCTTCTGACTTTGCACAAACCCACTTCAAACCAACCACAGCCCACAAGCCTCTGAAGTAGAGTTTCTGGGAGATGTGTCCAAGGCCAAAAGAGGAGTTTAAGCTGGACAGCTCAATATTGGTTTTGCAAATAATCATTATTTTTGCTCAGAGACTTCATGACGCAGATTCACAACTTGTTCCCCAAGTGTTAAAAGCTGAAGCACATGCATCCCCTGCAACCTGCTTGCAGAGCTGAGAGGCTTTAGAGGCTCCTAGCTGACTCAGCCACTCATGGAATGGTCTTGGTTTTTCCTGCACCAACAGGCGAGCCTTTAAGATCCAGTGCACACAGGATGGCACGTGGCTGCCGGGCGCTTGTGTGCCCGTTACCTGCGACCCTCCTCCTTCCAAGTTTCATGGGCTTTACCAGTGTACCAATGGCTTCCAGTTCAACAGCGAATGCCGGATCAAGTGTGAAGATGATGACAATCAGTCGGTGAGTCTCTCGTGACCAAGTTATCTCAGCACATACAAGTGTGGGTTTATCGTATGTTCCAAAAGGACTCTGATCTCGGAGGGACCCAGTGCCATTGAGCTCTTCTGAGACCAGAGGCAGAGGAATGAAGAAGGCAAATATGTCATTAAAGTAGAGGGTGAGAGAGCTGCTGTGGAGAGCCTGGAAATACTGGTTTTATGATAGTAGTAACCAGTACCCATAAAGGACTAACAGTGAGTGACTTACTGTTTCTGGAAAATAAGTGGCTGAAAAACCTGCCACAGTGGCTCTATGATCTAGCCAGAAAATAAGGAGTAATGAATGAAAGTAGGATATGAGTTACCCACACTTGTCCTGGCTGGTCATTCTGGTTTACCTTGATTTCTCTCCAGTTCTCTTTTTCTATTATTATCATGTATATGTTTAATATGGTAATTTAACTTTATAGGGATTACAATGATTCAGGTGAATTATCTCTAAATTTTCATGTTTTTCTGGCTGTGAAGGTGTCATTTGGCATCAGGGGTCAGATTCTCATCTGGTGTTAATCAGAGTGTTGCCTTTGACTTCACAAAGCTGTGTTCACTGATGTGAGATGGTCTGGCCTTTAGTATGTCATTTGAATTGTTTAGTTTTCCTCACCAGAGGTAATTATAGTTTGTGAGATAAGTAACTTCTCCCAGAAGTGCTGCCTCTGCTTAATACACTTGGGAAGAGAAAGTGGGGACGTAGAAGCTGCTACATTGCAGAGAGTAGGGAGTGCTATGTTAAAGGCCTTTTAATATCATTCCAGGTTCTGAGGACATATTAACAAGGGACCAACCATGCCCTAGTGCTAGTGAAGACATCTCTGATACCTGCTCCAAACGTTAAAAGCCAATTGCTGCCCCTGTTCCCTTCTGGGTTGGCCTGTCCTCTTCACAGGGACGACAGGCAGAGCCCTGGGGTTTTGCATTAAAGGTTTCCTTGTATAAAACTTAGGTGAGGTTATGAGCCTGTGAAATGAGAAGCAGCACATGTGGGTGCAGTTTGGGTGGGAGCTCTGGGATACAGCATTTGTGGCTTTGTACATCTATCACCGGTCAGCATGGCTGGAGAGGTGTACCATTGCTGGCAGTGCAGGGAAACTGGGGCACCAGTGTAATAACAGCTGGTATAATGGGTTTGTGTTTGCTGTTAAATGAACTGGACATGCAGAGGAGAGGGCAGTGGAATCAGAGTTACAGCAGTAAGGAAGTGGCTCTTGGAAAGTGAGAGATACGGCTATGTCTTTATTCACTGTAAGGAAGAGTGTAGTGATTGTTCAGCTGGGAAAGCACCTTGAGCAGAGGGAGCAGATAACATCTTGAGAAAGGGATTTGCAGAGAAAGGTATTTCCAGATATCCCAGAAAATAGACTGGAGAAAGGGGGAGGGCTCCTGGCACAAGCCAGAACCACTTGAGAGGTGTTAATTATTTAAGGATTAAACCCCACTAAGTCTCTCTCAGCTATATAAGGTGATAATGCACGTTGCATCCAAGTAAGAAACCCAGCAGGGATTTTCACAAGAGATTTTGCAGGTCAGGGAGTGATGGACAGGATGTTACTATAGCAATAGGTATCCTGGGATCTCAGAGTATGTTGCAGAAACTGTACAATAGTACCTTTAAACACAACCAGCTCCAGGAACGTAAATCAGGTTTCATGGCTCACCTTGAAAAACCATGCTTGAACCCTGGCATGCAGATTGCAATGGAAGTGCACCATGCTTGCTACCCCAGCAAAATTGTGCTCAATTATCACTTAGCAATCTCTTCCTGAATTTGTCACCATGCTGAAAGATCGTTACTCAGCTGTACATATGGCATCTCTTAATCACCAGCAACATAATGGTCATTTAAGCAGGTACCTCCGCTGGCACCCAGGGCAAGGGTCTTCCATTGGAGAATATGGTGCACAAATCATATGAACAGTCAGATCTAAATTAATCAGTCTCTGCCAAACTGGCCCTTAGGTGAGAATCACCAAGCTGGATCACACCCTGAGTCCATCTGGTCCATTATCCTTTCATATGATTTTCTTATTACTGCTGGCAATGGCCAGATGTCTAGAGAAGGGGAAGCAGGTCCCTCGCAGTAGTCTGCCGATGAGACCACTTTGCATCTCACTAAACACTGTGCTCATCAGCAAAGCTGAGCAAAGGAAGCATTGGGATATTAAGGACAAGATTAACATTGAAGGCTGCTCAATCCTCCACGCATATTCCAGTGGCTTGTGCCGATCCCTGTGCAGCAATGGGTGTGGGTCATGCGGAAGAGCTCCTGCGAAGGGTTCAGCAGCCCTGCTGGAATCCCATCATAGAGAGAACACTAAAGGATTCCCAGATACCCAACACAGTTTCCAAGAGCAGGGTGGGTAGGTTGCAGACAACATGCCTGACATAAAATGGGTGAGGAGAAGCAGAGATCGTGCATGGTTCTCCCACCCAGCAAGGCCCCTGCGGGAGGATTGGAGCCACACCAGACATCCTCCTGTTGGGTGTCCCGCATTACCCTGTGGCAGCTGGGCTCGCAGATCCTGCAGAATAGCTTGTGCAGAAATCCCCAGTGCCATGAGGATAGATCTGACAAAAGATTGCCTGTGCACTCCTTTGTTGTTTCTAAAGGGCATGATATTTCCCCTCGGACGTTGGTATTCATTCTTCAGTATCATACGGAGAATCTTCTCTATAAGAGAAATGTCATATTGTATTCCTTGCCCATTCCCACGCCAGAGGATTTTTTTCTCCTTTCCACCTGCCTCTGTGAGTGTCTGTCTCGGCCTCTTCTCTTGCTGTCACTCAAGGCAGCCAAGCTCTAAAGAGCACGTTCTGCCCTGCTAAGCATCCCTGCTCGTGTCCTGCTTTCCTTCCTCCTTCAGATAGCCATTGGGAATTCTTTCATTTTTGAGACAAAGATGATGCAACCAGTTAGAAAATGGGAAGAGGGAAAAGGTTGTCTGCATTCAACACAAACCTCTCAACAAGATAGAAGGCAAATGGAGTGAATGCACCTTTATCACAACTAGAGTGGGTCTATTTTAAGGTAGAGACCGTGCAAGGGCCTTGTAAAGACATTGCATTGCACACAAGAGCGGTGCGCGTGTATGCAGTGCAGGTTTCCTTCCTTTATTCTTTGGAAGAAGACTCCCTCTTGTCCCCCAGCACTGACATTCCCAACCAGGGACTCTTCCAGTTCCAGCAGAACTTTGCTTCTGGCTCAGGTTTGCCTGCTTCTCACTTCTTAGCCTGTCTTTGCTGTTGTTTTTGTGGCCATCTGCATTATCTCCTCCTCTCATTCCAGGGCCGTGGAAGCAACGTGATTCACTGCCGGAAGGATGGCACCTGGAGTGGGTCCTTTCATCTCTGCAGGGAGATGCAGGGCCAGTGCACACTGCCCACACAGCTCAACAGCCACCTGAAGCTGCAGTGCGCCGGCGGCTACGGCATAGGTTTGTGAGCTCCAGCTCCTGCAGCATGCAGCTTGGGAGGGAGTGGGAAGCACAGGGACAGGAGTTGAGGAGGAAGATGGGAATGAGAGGGAGGAAGGAAGGAAGGATCTTGCGGTCCTTGAAGTCCTATGGTCCTGTTTGCCTGAGTGAGAGGCTGCTACAGGAGGCTTTACAGGGAAATGCTTTCAGGAAACATGAAGCTCTGCGAGGCCAGGCATCATATTAACATGATTGCTGGCTCCTTGCAATGCTTCCAGTTTCATCATGTGCCTTCTTGGCCAGCTGGTTTTAATGGGCAGCCAGCAGGCCAGACCATGCCAGAGACACATCCAGTCCTCAAAATACAGGCAGAGAATGTACCTGTGTTTGCTCTTTTGTCATGTCCCCCTCCATCAACCACAGGCACACATACACATGCCCCGGAGGTGGAAAGGCAGGAGGCTGGCAGGGAAGTGCAGCACCAGGGTAATTCAAATCTTTCCAGAAAGAATATGAGACCAGCTGAGCATCCCTTTTGGTATGACAGTTGATTAGGAGCTGCTGTAAGAGTATGTTTTCCCCCTTCTTTCTGGGATGCCTGCTCACCCTGCAAAGGGTCATTGACTTCCTTGCCCTCAGCCGTGCTTTGTGTCACCCAGGCAGAGGGAGGGGTAAGACTCCACACTGTACACACTGTATTGTATTTTCAGCCCCTGTTTTTGAGGTCTCCATGCTGTAAAGGCTGCAACCCACACAGACCTCCGAGGCCCCTTCCTGCAGCCCCTCTCCCAGCCCCTGCCAGCCCCCTCCTCCCTCTGCCTGTCCCTTTGAACCTGGAGATATTTCCTTCTTGCGCGGCTCCCTCATTATATCGCAGCCATGCGAAGGGACCACGAGCCTGCTTGTGTTCCCTCCCTGGGGAGGAGAACACGACCTGGATGAGATCACCGCTCTGTAATGATGCCAATTACAGATCATATATCAAAACAATTCCGACCTGCTCCTTTCCCAGAGTGTAAGGAGCGTGGCAGGAGAGCGAGCGGCGAGCCCTGACTCTTAATGTAGAGAGGTGTTTTATCCTCGAGATGAGGTTACCTCCAACCTGGCCAGGGTTTTCCAAGGAGAGGAATACCAATTCCTGCTTTGGAGGGGAGCATCTCAGTGCTGGAAGAAGGAGGGTCTGCAGTTTCCCACCCAGTGGGTGCCTGACAGCCCTTGGTCCTCTTGCAAGTGTGGCTGTCAGGAGGTACCAGTCCCGCATGCAAGGTCTGGTGGGCCTGATTCTGGGATGGGACCACACAGCCGTCATGGAGGTGAGGGTCTCATGGGCTAAATCCTCCATAGGAGTGTGGCTTTTGCTGGAGAGGAAGAGCTCAGTGAGGGCACAGCCACCTTTGGCTCTTATCCTCAGCAGATGAGAGCACGTTTTGGGATCAGGTTGTTGGGTTTTCCTTCTGCTCTTTATCTTTTTGGAATCCTGGTCCATGTTCTTCCGAGAAGCTGTTTTCCTTCCACTCACTTGCAATGGGGGTGGTGTCAATGGGGCTCACCCAGCTGGTCCATGGAGCCACTGTCACATGCACTGGGAAAGCAAAACAAACCCCAAGTCCTCCCAATCTTCCTGGCTCAACAGCCCAGGTCTGCTCTGCTCCCAGTGACTCCTCCATGTGGGAGTTCATGAGAAGTCAGAAGCAGGTGGGGAAAATAATAGCATCCAGTCGTGGTCACTATGAATCCCACACACCTTCAGTTATTCCTCAGACACCTAATCTGCCCTTCCAGGCTGAGGTGTGTGTTGAGCCAAAGGTTCAGCTCTCCAAACCAGTGTGGAGATTAATTCCTCCCCCAGCGCTGATTGGAGTGCAGAAATCCTAATGACATGTTTGCAGCAGCTGTGCCATTCAGGAGTGATTTTCCAGGGGGGAAATGGTAATGGTCCAACACACTAGGGCTTACGGTTGTGTCACCACAGGGCTCTGGGATATTGCTGGAGAGTATCGCAGCATGTTTTAATGAAGAAAGGACAGGATTCCCACTGGGCATGACAGTTAATCAGGGAAAAAGCAGGTTTATGTGTGAACAAAGCCATCATTACCTCTCCGTGTACTTCTTATCGACTGTGGACTTAGGTGCTAGCTCGCCTGCAATGTCGTTAGGCTTGGGCACCCTCTGCAAGATGATTATTGAAGGTCTGTATATGTGACAGATCAAACGGTAGGTTTCTATCATGTCATAGGTGAGATGAGTTCGCCGGCCTCTGCTCAATCGATCCCATTGCTTGAAAGAGCAGTTGAAATGGAAAAACCTTCACATTTCCTTGATGATCTGAAAGTGCAAAACCTGACCCCCTTCTTGGAGTTAATAGCCAGAGATACGCAGCTCATACAGAAAGGCCTTGGAATATCTGCCACCCCCACGATCTGCTGAGGTGCAGGGCTGTACTCAGCATTTCGTGTGTGCCTAGAAGATATGTGATAGTTCTGGTTGACTGCTAATTGCAAGTTAGGAAAAATGAGCTGTAATCCTGTCCTTCAGCTGGAGGGATGCCGAAAGGGTCAGGAGCTGCTTGCTTTATCCTTTAGCTTTATCCTCACTGTGTTTCCTGCAGGCACGGAGTGCACCACTTCATGTCTGGATCACAGTCACGAGCCCATCCTCCTGCGTGTGAACGAGACCGTGCAAGACATCCAGCACTGGATGAACCCTCAAAGAGTGAAGGTCAGTGCCTGGCAATTTCACTACCTACATCCATTTCTGTGTGTTGATGTGAAGGGACTGAACAGCATTACCTGTGGTTCATTCAGCGAGGGGAATACAGGGTTAATTCTGCCCTTTAGAAAAGAATTCCTGATTTTTGTTGTGTCCTTACATGGTGTTCCAGTAATGTGGTGGCTTCCTCTCCAAGTTGCTTTCCCTCTATGATTTCCCAATGAAAGTCAGTTCAAGGTAAAGGCCCTAAATCAGTGTGCTCACATCCACCTGGCACCTACAGTGGGTCTGATCTGGAAACATGATTCATGACACAGGAAGACAGACAGAGAAAGGGCACTGGCCAGGTTTTATTTGCTTCCTCCCGTTCAGTATTTTGCTTTCCTTGGGTGGCAGAGCTGGATTTTTCTGCACTGCTTTTGGATGACAAAAGAAGCTGATACAGAGGGTATTTCATTTCCCGAACCAGCAGAGCTGGCTGAGTCCTTCCCCCCACCCCTTCGCCCGCATGCAAGAGATGCCTGCTCAGCACAGCCCCATCCAGAGGTCACCACTTCTTCCTCCTGCCTGCAGCAAGCACTCAGGCAGCATTAACCACTCATGGCACACCATCCTGCGCATCCTCCAGGTCTACCCTGATGGGGACACGCACACCATGTACAGTGCCTTGCACGCCCTATACACACAGGCCACCTGAAGCAAAGAGCTGTTTGGTTTCGTGCCTACACTTGAATACCTGTGGGAGACAATTGGATTGTGGGGACACAACCTGTGGGGACACACTCATCTACCTCCTCTTAAACCCCCTTCCTGCCATCTACACAAATGTGCTCTCCTGCCCCAAAATGCATGTAACCAGCACTTGTGCCTGCATGGCGTAGATGTTTATCTGGCCATGCTCAAGTGCATGTCAGAAGACACCAGCACATCCCATGTCACCAGGGTGCAGGTTGCTGGTGGTGCTTGAGCAAACACTTACTGGCTTTCACATACTTGGCCCTGTCTTTACAGGAGTCTGTTTTACACACTGCAACTCTCCATTTAGGAGGCGAACAAGCAGCCAGCACAGCCCCAGCATATTTTGAGCAGCTTTGACAGTCTATTTGCTTCTCTACATGCCTAAGTATGTACCCAGGGGTTGGGATTTTTGAAATCTGGCCTTGGCTGTGGGTTGTGAGCTGCTCTGAAAAATAACCACTTTATACTTCCCTGTTTCACACAGAGCAATAGAATAAATCCTGGAAAGCAGTGGGGAACCTAAGTCCAGAGAACAGAACAAGTTTGCAGTGTCCTTCCCAGCTTCCCATTCACTCCAGATGCCGAGATTATATCATTGCCTAAGCCTAGGCTTTGCCAAGTTTCAGGCATGAAGCATAAAGAAAACCCCTATCTCTGTATTCGGGGCAATTTCTCACTGGTCCTTTCCCGAGTGCTAGACTTTAAAGTGGTTTTGTAATTCATGGTGAAATAAAGTGACAGCTTCCCTCCTGTTCTCTGCTGTGCTCCCTCGTTTATTGATGCGGGTGCGCAGAGGGAGCTGTAACGAGTTTTATACCTGCAGGTCTCTGGAGGGCTCATTAGGCAGCAGGGAAAACATAGAGTTGTAAAGGGGGAGATGAGGGGAGTGAGGGATGGAGGAGAAATCATGCTTTCCAAGAGTACAGTGGTAAATAAGGCCTTTCTTGCCCTGATGGTGAGGATCTTGCAAGAGATTTAGGCTGGGAGCAGAGAAAAGTCTCACCCCACAAACAATTTGTAACTAGAGGGTGGGATTTGGGGTTGAAAACTTGTGTTGGGAGGTGGAGGGAAACCTTTAGGAGACAAGTGGGATGGTGCTGAGACATGATGGAAGGGATATTTTGGTAGCTGTATATCATCCATCTTCTTCAACTCTCAGATAAGGGGATGTCACGCACAGCGAGTGGTACGTCATGGGGCAAATGCTGCTACCGGTGGGACTCGGGAGACCCCCTGGAGAGACAGGACTGGGATGCCTTAGGGGAAGGTCCCCATGGCAATGTGTTATATACCAGTAATAATAGGTGTCTCTGTTTATGGTCAGTGACAGCTTGCTGCTGTGCCATACAAGTCAAGGGAGCAGCTGGTTGCACTTACACGGCAAGTCTTTGTGGATCTCCAAGTACTTGAATGACACAAAGGAAACACTTCTAGTGACTTAATTCAGGCACAAGTAATGTACAAATGAGAAGCAGATAAAGGCAGAACTGACCTGTGGAGCTTACCTTTGAGAGGACAGGCACAGATAAAACCCAAGGAAAAAGAATAACATCTGTGTGTAGCTGCTCAGGCAATAGCTGTTACGGAAGCAAATAGGGAAGAAGGAACCGTCTCTCCTCTGGGGGCTGTTTAGAGCAGAGCTGTGCAAATCACTTGCTTTTTCGGTTCACTCGAAGTTATGTCAGATGAAGAAACAAAATGTTTTCTCTTTAATCAAGGGGCCTGGTTTGTTGTTGTGATTTTTTTAGTGAACCGAAAAATGGGAGGAAAAACCGCATTGGTTTGAACAGAGCGTGGCCGTTCATTTCCAAGGACTTTGGAAAAGTTTTTGTTTAATGAAAATGACAAAGAAAAAAGAAATAATTAGAAATTAAATGTCCTCTCAAAGGAACAACAACAACAGATATTTCACTCCGAAGAACATCTGACAAACGCATACGACTGCAGAATTGGTTCAGGCCGAGTTGCTCTGTTGGATCTGAAGGAGTTTGCTGAAATCAGTGTACGTTGGCAGTGCCTTCTCAATCAGTGCTTTTAGCAGGAAAAAAAGAACCACCTGAAATCTTGTGGGTGTCTGTGCTTCTGCTGGAGGCTGTCTTCAGAGCAACCACTGCTGTTCCCATGATTTCCCATTAGCCAAGGGGCAGTGAGCTGTTGAAGACACCTATAGATAGAGCTGCCAGGACTGACTGTGCAGGCAGTGGAGAGAAAAAAAGGAAGCATCTCACAAAGACAGCTTGACAGCCCTTTCCTATTGACTGCAGAGGAACAGGGCAGACACTTAATTTCTTAGGTTGGCTGAATTTGGGTCCTTGCCTTTGTGCTGAGCAGGAACGGGCCAAACACTGCACAAGCATGTGCGTGCCTGGGGTGACCTGCAAAGGGTTGGCATGCCCCAGCTCTGCCTACCAGCAGGGTGAATGTGGCCATGGCTCCTCCACACTCTTGGGACACTGCACTACTGATGGTGATGTGTTTTCCCATATGCACTGCAAGCCCTGGGATTTCTGGATGCCCATTAATAGGAATTCTCCTTAAATCCCCTCTATTCATTAAAGCTTTGCAGTTTTCCTCCTTCCTTTCCCTCTCCCCTTTCTGTGACTGTTGGGCTTAATTTGCAGGCAGGGAAACTGAGTCATGGAACAGTGGAATGACTTACTGCAGCGGCTTAGTTCCTGGCATGTCAGGAGTTCCCACCCTGTCTGGAGCTACAAGAGGAAACAGCCACAAAACTCTATGTCTCTTCTCTCTTGGCAGCAGTAGCCGATCCCCTCACCACCGCCACTCGGTTGTCATGTTCATTTAGTGGCTGAGGAGAGAGTTAGCTGAGACCAGTAGATACCAGTCACTGTGCATAAGCCCTGGGGGACACTTGACCCATCTAAGGTGGAGGAGAGCTCTCCACCAGCCTCTCTTGGGGAAACCTAATCCCCTCCACAGCCCGCAAATGGTTGACATCATTGTGTTAGTCCCACCATGGGAGGGAAGCGCTGTGACTGGAGGCACTAGGTCTTCCCTCATAAGGAGTAAATGACAGCTTGATTTGCTTTCTTGGCTCTTTGTTACCTACTGTGGGAGCGCATCCTGGCTTCCTCTCCCCTCGCAGCAGATGGAGTCACAGCCAGCAAACCACAGATGTGGCTGGATGGCGTTTCTGGGATGGGGACACGACCAAAGTCAATAGAGCCGACTGCACAGCGTGGCCGATGCAGCTGCTGAGCTGCAGAAGCCGATGCACAAGGGGAGCTGGGGCCATGAGGGTAGCAGATGTCACCACAGTGGCAGCAAGGGGAAGGGATGGGGCTGGCAGAGGAAGTGGCCAGATGGGCTTTATTCCCTGTGCACCTCCTGGCACGCGTCGGATGTGGTCCTTCCATCCACCTCCTTCCATCCAGCATCCTTTGTTGACCTTGTGAGGTCAGCTTCCTTTCTGTGTGCACTGACACCATCAGATCCTGATCATGTCCCTCACAAGTGCCACCTGTACCCATCTTTGCATGCTCTGTATACATTTATTTGTCTCAGTTGCCCCATCCAGTTGCTCTCTATGGCACCTTGTATGCCTGTTTGCACTGCAAGAGACAGGAACAATGCCCAACAACCCAAATCATCCCCAGTTTCTCAGTTTCCCAGCCCAGTCTCTCCCTCTGCCCACACCTTTTCCCATCCTCTTGCACTGCACACACCGCAAAAGCAGCCTGAGAGTACAAACAGGCTTGGTGGTAAGAGTTCAGGGTTTGGAAAACCAACAAGAGGAGCTGGGACCATGGCCATTCCCTGAGCATACTCTGCTTCCAGTTCCATTAATTAGCATGAAGTTAGCAGGATTGAATTCAGCTGGAATAGCTCTAATGGTCTCCATTAGCAAAGCTTTACCCAAGGAGAAGGCAAAGTAACTGGGACTAAGCTGATGACCACTGAAGAGCAACGTGAATGTCCCACTGATCCAGTGGTTAATCTAGCATGAGGTCAGTTGGCTTTCCTGTGCTATGGAGAGCAACTTGGGGCTGCATTCACGTTCCCTGGGGGATGTCCAGCTGTGCAGCCCTTGGGATTGAGGATAATCTTAAACAAGATCACTGTCCTAGCACAGACTTCACTTTCCATCCATTCCTCTAAGGGAGGGTGCTGGGGTTTTAATACTGGGAGGGCATGGAAAGTAGTCAGTTCATCCTCTGCAAGGGATTGCTGGAAACCTCCTCTCTTCAGAGCCTGTTTCAGTGCTACCTAGCTGCTTTTGTTAACTCCATGTGCTCACACACATTCACACATATTGAGAGGTTCTGTAAATATTGATGCTTCTTACCAGGGGAATGTGAGATGCTCTTTGGAAGTGCACTTCTTATTGTCTGCCTGGCCTTGGATACGGGAGGCAACCGCCTGAGTTTTCCACTTTGTTTTAATTCCTGGTTTCAAATGCTCTTGAACTGCTTCCTTTACTCTTCCCCCCTCCCTGCCTGTTGACTTGCCTTGTTTATTTTGAAACCTAGAAAAGTTTCCCTTCTTTTCTCTGTGAAATGCAATAAACAGAAGAGGGGGAAAAAAATCCGACTAAAGCCTTCACCATTTGTGGCAGGCAACAGCCTGGAAATCTCCAGCTGTCTGTCGGGAGCGTGCTGGGGGAAGGTCTGACACTGCAGGGCCCCCGCACCTTGCAGCCTGCTTCCCGAGGGATAAACAACATCCTCCCCCCATTCCCGGCCGCTTCTCCTCTCACACAGACGGGCCCTGTTGTGAGGCAGGTGGGGCAAGCCGGGCTTGACTAATAGTGGAAAATCCAAAAGCATCGGAAAGATAAACAGCCCCAGTCAGATAGTATAAAAGTCCTTTCTCTAACCCACGCCAGGTAAGCCTCAAATGACAGAAACTGTAAAAACATGTTGAGGTTCCCCTGCAGATGGATTAAATTAGCCCTCAAATAAACAGGGGAAGGGATGGCTTGTGCGTCAGGTCTTCCCAAATGTTAATCCCTTTCCTTCCCCAGGCCTCCATCCAACCCTGACCCCTGGCTTTGGGTGAGCACCTATGTGTTCATCTTGCCCAAGTGGACACTGTAGCGTTCCATCCGTGGATGATAACCCAAAATGAACCTGTGATGATATCCTGGTGAACGGATGGGAGTCCTCTCTCCTAGACCTCCATGGTATAGAAGCACCAGCTCCACTGTCACCTCAAACTTTTCATCCCCTCTTAAAATCTAGTTTTCCATGTCCAAAGGCAAACAGTGTCTACCTGGGGTATGCAATCATTTCAGTAGGTTAGTCACAATTTTAACCCCAAACTAAGCACTCCAACTTTCTTCTTCTAGAAAATCTATAAAGAGAGTTTATACCGGAACGATAAAGCTCATGAAATGTAGCAGATGATGCTGTCCTATCTGGGAGTTATTCTGAAGGTGTGTAGTGGGAGGTGCTTTTATTTAAGATGGTGCGAAAATGTATCTGAAAGTTGACCTTTAGCTGTTTCCATCTTCAGGAAGCACAGGTCTGATGGGTGAAGGAGAGCAAGGCTTTGCAGCACCAAAGAACCCAAAGAAATCCCCCCCTACCCAAGAGCAAGACAGCAGACCCGTGCCTTTACCTTTCGCTGCTACGTTCCCCCACCATGAGTGAAATATTGGACATGACATTTTCAGAGAACCTTAAATATTATTTTAATCTCGAATGTTCTGTTATTGCAAGTGTCAAGTCCAACACTTCTTGTAAATACCTGGAGGACAGCCAGGTCCTGAGAACACAAGAGGTGTTAGGAACTGAACTTCATTGGTTAAGTACAGGAGAGCCATAGGAGCCCAGCGCACTGGCTTTCTGTACACTGATTTCTTTGTCTTAACCTGTTGGGTTTTTTTCTTCTTCCCTCCAGAGTGTTGTCTGCACGGCGGGACTCAAGTGGTACCCCCACCCTTCCCTGATCCATTGTGTCAAAGGCTGCGAGGTGAGCTTTCACGTTAGCTCAGGTGGTCCATGCTTGCTCTCCCAAACGTTCTGGTAACCATCACTGCAGACACATGGTCGGTAAATGCTGGTTTACAAGTGGGACAAACAGGTTTTTGCCCTGACTATGTCAGACTGTGGTTGCCTACATTAGTTTGTACACTCAGTGGTGAAATTGGTGGTTTCCCTAGAGCCGATGGTTGGGTGACTCTCATGGGAGTTAAATGATCAAGGAGCTCAACAACATTGGTAGACCATCAAAATTACCCAGGATCAGGGAATTTCTGGGAAGTTGCAAAAACCTTCAGATGTTTTTCCTTGATTTTGACATCCTATTAGAGGGCTAGTTCTTCCCAAGCCCATTTAGGCTTTGAGCATTGGTGATACCACTGGGTGGATAGTGAGGAAATCACAAAACCCTCCACTGTGCACTTCTATCTGAACCAGAAAAAGTCCCAGGCATATGCAGTTTCATTCGAGCTGTGATACATTTCGAGAGTCTTGTGTGTTATCTGAAAAAAGCAATTATATTGAAGGATGTTGTTTCTGCTGGTAACAAAAAAGTCTGAGAAGTGTTAAGATGCTTCCAGCGGTTAAATGGGGCTAGAGCATCTCTCGCTGGGTCATGGCGCTCATGTGGTTTCCATCATGCCCTTGAGTATCTCACCCATGTCAAGAAGTCGAACCATAGAATAGTTAGGGTTGGAAAGAACCTTAAGATTATCTAGTTCCACCCCCCGCCTCGTAGTACCTCTGTGAGGCTGGGAAGCTCCATGTCCATTGTAGAATTGGGGTAGCTCATAAGCAGAGGGGTAGATGGCTGCTTCAGGTCTATGGGCAGTGGAAGAGCTGTGTCTTGACCTCCCACCTCCTGACTTTCTGCAGCACTGACTGTGTTCTCAGCGCCCAGTAGCCCAATTTTACAAGCACTTTAAAGTTATTTGCCTGGAGTGGCAGAACATGGCACAGAATTCCTAAATTCGACACAAAACTCTAGACCACATTGCTGCGCGACGTGATTTGTCTTGAAGTGAAAGACAGGTTTCCTTCGCATACAAATGTTGGGCCCAAGAGGGTAATAACTCTCCAACAATGTAATAGTTTCTGTCGAGTTGTTCCCTAAATGAAAAGCATTCTGCTGTCAGTGCTTTGAATGTCATAAGCCATCTCAGGCATTGCATTCATGCAGGCTGGCTAGGCGCCCCTATTCTCCAAAGAGAGCTAAAATAACATCCAGCAACCATTAAGAAATGCCATTCAGGTGCTGATGCACCACTGGGTAGCCATTCTCCTGCTGGTTAAGGATAGTTGTTACTGAGGCAAAGTTTGCAATGATGTAATAATTTACCAGAAGCCATTATTACTGACATGCTTTTTCTCAGCGTTTTCTTCCCTTCCATCATTGTTAATTGCCAGACCCCACTGCATCAATAGGAACTTTCTTCTTTTCATCATTCATTCAGCAGTGTCACTGCATCCCAATCTATCATCTTGGAAGGCTTTGCCCAGACAATTGATAATGGCTTCTAGCATCATTTTTAGAGCCTGATGCTTCCAGGAGCCGCGAATGGGCCAGAGCTTGTTCTCTGGCATTGAAATACCATATTCATCAAGCCTTTTATTCATGACTATGGAAATACGGACTAATAAGCCAGTAGGTCAATTATACTGGGCCATTAGGCTGATACAATCTCTTATATATTAATATCCTCGGCATTAGGGAGGGTTCCCTGAACAGAAGGCTGTAAGCGGGGCATTACTTTACTCTTGGTGGTCACAGTGGTAACCCAGACTCCTGCTGCAATGTGATTTTTTGTCGCTCCCTAGTGGCAGGAATAGAGGTTTTTGAGTGAGCCCCGTACTCCTCGGCAGCTAATTTAGTTGTTTCAGTAGAAAACCAGCCCCTCTGGACTACCTGTGTAGTCCTCCAAAAGTATAGGAGCACTGTGATAGGCATGAAGCCCTATAAAGACTTCACCCTCCACAGCCTCCAAGGTCTCCCGAATGAGGATTTTGGTACCACAGCAGAATAGATGCTGTTTGTCCCATTCTTCTCCTCCAAAGGACTCACTCGCCTACTCTGTGCCAGTGAAAGGCAAATTTTTCCACATATTTCTTTTACTGATTTTTCCAGTGTTCATAGGTGTAGGATATAGGCATGGAAAATTAAAGTCAAGCCTTTCTTGACAAGCAGGCAGAGCCAGGCAATACAAGGGAAACATGGAGAAACCTACACAATTTCCTGGGAGGTTGGACAAAGTTTGTATTTTTGACTGTGACCAGGTTGGCATAAAAATACCTCTCCATTTACTTATAAATCATTCCCTTTTAACTCTTAGCAGATGAATTAAACTGGAAGGATGTTTGCAAGTCAAAGTCTTTGCCTGTATAAAGAAGTCAGTCTCTGTGGAAGTCACAGTGGAGTTAAGCCAGGTTATAGGGATAGGAGCCTCACCCTGTAACTCTGAATTCTTGGTCAGCATCTGTAGTATTTGCACATAGCTAAACAAGTGACATGCAATGAGTCTGTCCCCTCCTGGTAGTCCTGCTGTGGTCTATCATTGCCTGGATGGATTTCATGTACCCCAATAGGAATACTTAAACCTGCAAAACATGAGCAGCAGCAATAGCATGCATTTACACCACTGCAGAGGGTCCATTGCTGGACTGATGAGCACAGCCATGGCTCTGTCTGGGGAGAGCCATGGTTCTCATGGCTGGTTCTTCAGATATCTATCATAAGGGAGACTTTGGTATGGCAATTGCTGCAGAATCCTCCCAGGAAGCCTCCAAAAGGCTCCCCACCTGCTCTGCAATGATGCCTTCTTGTAGGAAAAGTCCCTGGTGTGCTTTACTCAGTGCAGCATAAATGAATTTTCCAAAGAGCAGATAAAATGGGAATGGCCCCATGAGCCCATGCATGTAAGACGTATTACAGATATGACTGTGCTCTCTGCTGAGCATCTGCTTCTCTGAACTTTCATTGCTTCCTGGGATTCTCATCCCTGGCAAAGGCCTTTTTGAGCATCAGGCACAGTTTTGATGTCCAGGAAAGACTTCTGTACTCGCTGACCAAGAGGGCTTCGAGCCTTTTTGTTAGAACTGTGATTATCATTCAGGTCCTGTGCAGCGCATAGACCTAGTGATCACATTGCACAGACTAGTGACCACATTTTCTTTTCCAAAGTGATTTATGAATTTTACTTAATAGCTCTCCACAACATCCCTCTGAATGATGGCCATTATCCCAGCTCTGAGCTGTGGAGCAGAGGAAGATGACGTGTCATGGCCAAGGTCATGTTGGGTTACTGGTGGTCAGAGAATGAGAACACATGGTCCCTGCGCTGAGCTCAGACCACTTCCATTTCTCTTTGTGCTATGTTTTGTGCCCTCATTGCTGACACATGTTGCATAGTTAGGAGAACTGTGGTGCAAAGTACAGCTATTAAAAGCAAGCCAGTTTTGCTGTTATACATAACCTTCTTCCTATCCCACATAGTTTTGGAAGGTTAGCTTAAAATTATCAAAAGGTGCCACAATTTTAGATGCCTTGATGCTGTCTCTGGGCCTAGTCACATTAATATTCCTGAAGCATCATCTTATGTGGGATGTGAAAAGCCAACAAGGGCTCATTTCCCTTCCATCTAGTGTCCTTTTTTTCCTCTCTGTCTGCTTCGAAGGGAGAGGGAAATAATTCTCTCTTGCTTTTCAGGGCAGTTGATAATGTTACAAACTCTATAGCTCCTTCAAGTTGCTCGTTTTCCTTCTGACATATTGTTGCACGGTTTATTCATGTCCACGCTCTCAGCCTTTTTCTGCTTTTTCCTTTTCAGCCTTTCATGGGGGACAACTACTGTGACTCCATCAACAACAGAGCCTTCTGCAACTATGATGGTGGGGACTGCTGCGCCTCAACAGTCAAGACCAAAAAGGTAGGGATGCCCTTCCTTTTCCGCTGGGAATTTCTTCCTGAGCACTGCTTTGTGCTTGGAAAAGAATTGTTTTTGCTAGGACAAAGGAGGTCCAAGGTCTCAGAAGGACCTTCAGTCCAGGCATCAGCTTATAGGCACTGGGTTTTTGGTCCATTTTGAAATCCTCTCTTGATATACATGTGCGTTTCTCATCATAACCCACCTTATACCTGTGTAAGGCAGGTTCTGCAATAGTCAGTGGCATTCATTCATTCTTACTGTAATTAAACCTTAGCTTCTCTATAGACAAAGGCTAGCTCCCTTCAAAATCCATCAGCAAAGCTACACCTACTGCTCAGGAGCCCTTCATACAGAAACACTGACAAGGGTATATTTGCCTGTCCTGATATCCACTCTCAATGCTCAAAATGGAAACTAAAGGTTAGGAGTCATTAGGAAAAGAACAGAGAGCAAAATGAAAGCATCACTGTAGGTCTGTACTTTGATCTCTATGTATCCACATGCACATGGCTCACTGTTGACCATCCCGTCTCCTAAAGGACAGAGTGGGACAGAGAACGGTGGGGAGCAGGGCAGCAGGGCTGAGTAGAGATGTGTAATATCTTCAGCACAGAGACCACATAGACCAGGACCTGCTGCCCTTTCAGAAGAGGCAGTGGGCATGGTGAGTAGCAGAGATTCATAAAAACATTACCTAATGCAGGGAGGAAAATAAACCCCAGTGTTTCTTATCACACAGCAATGAGGGGGTGAGCTAATACCTAAAAGCAGGATCTAAACAAATGAAAGGCATTTCTTATTCGCACAATGTGCATTTGAAGGATAGAATACATTGCCAGTAAGTCACTAAGACCAAAATTATATTTGAAATCAGAAAGAGAATAAGTATATTTGTGGAGGTTACCTCCTTCAGTGGCCATTAAATCCTCTGATCTGGATGCAGTTTCTGGCTCAGGACTATCTAAACCATTGACTGCTTTAGCCTGGGGAAGGATCCCTCCATATATCCTTTGAGTTTGTGCTTCTTTAACACCCGTTTCTGGGTACTTTTAGAGGCAGTGACTGAGGCAGTGAAACCTGTAGTCTGAAGCAATACATTTCATGTGTTTCTAAGCAGGATAGATTTTAAACTTGTTTCCCAAAGAAAGGAAAGAAAAGCTTAGCTTCTGTCATGTGAGATTTTTACCTTGTCTTCAAGACTTGAGTGTGCATCAGAGTGACAACCCAGCTATGTTAAGTATCTGATATATATGGCTAACACTTCAAATCTTCAGGGAGCTTGGGCTCAGCAGACTTCATTCATTTCACTTATCTGAGGAAGAAGCTCCTCTCTACCACAGCTGTGGGAATGAAGATGTCTCTGCAGGGAACAGTCCTATCTAAGACAGCTTTAGCCAGAAGCTTCTTTTCCTTGGTTCCACCAAAGATCTCTTACCAGTGGAGCTCTGTGGGCTATCTCTGGCCCATGTGGGAACACTGGGATAGGGAAGTGGACATGTCTTCCAAGTGGAAGGAGTTCATTTCTCCACTGGGGAAGAAGTAGTTTTCCTAAACATGCCTTTTGGACAAATTTCCCCTGTGTTACTGTGTTTCTTTTGCAAGCCATGTGCGGGGAGGGAAGCAGAGGCAGGTGAGCTTCTGTGTTCCCCAAGGATGGAGTAGAGCATGGGGATGGCACACAGGGCTCCCTGCTGAATCCACCACTGCAGAGACAAGCAGGGTGACAGGCAGCAGATTGTCTTCAGTGCCATCTCCGAGAAGAGATTCCCATCTCTGGCTGCTTTTCCACCTCCTTGGGAGGAGCAGCCCAAGGGCAATCTCAGCTTGCTCACTGACCTCACAGGCCCACCAGCTAGGAGGGCAGAGCTGGAAGTGGCCGGTAGCTCAGCATGGGTAGGTCTTCTCCTCCAACAACAGCCTGCCTGGGAAACTTTATCTCGCTGCCTTCAGGCTTGAGGATGAAAAACCCCAAGTGGTGCCAGAGGAATGGAACTGAGGTGGCTGGGATGGGACCGACCCAAACCAGCCCCATCAAGACAAGAGCTGAGGGCACAGTGTATCACAGGGGTGGGGATGGGACTGAAACACGAGAGATGTGAGTGCCGAACTGATGGGGAAACGGATAGGATTAAGGTTTGGAATAATTTATTACTGGGCAGGGAATTGAGACAGAGTGGGGTCTGTACAGAGTTATGAGCACTTACCAGCCAGGCGAGTCACTCTCAAAGTATCTGGCTGCTTCACTGCCACCCAGAAACCAAGTGACCACCCAAGAGGGGGAAAGCACTTTGTAGCCCACTTGGTTACTGGTTTCTGTGTTAAACATGCCCAGTGCAAAGGGCAAGTGGTTCAGAGGCAGGCAGCTCGTCACACATCTGATGGGTTTCCTCATAGAGAGGGAGGTTTTGGAGGTAAGTCTTAGGTCTTCTTCGACTGACTTCACTGGGAGCTGTATCCTTGTGACCAGGGGAAATGGAGTGACCCTATGTTGTCCTTTAGAAACACCCATCCTAGGGATCACATGGGTTGAGGGCTGAACCACAGAGCTCATTGCTTCCTTGGCAGGCATTCAACTCTCCAAATCTCTCTCCCAAAATACCTAACACCATCCCAGGAGCTGAACAAAGCTCTCAGGAGATGCGAGAAAACCACCTTCTCCTCAGACCTTCCATGCCAAAAACAAGATGCTAAGTCCCAGTTTATTACATTTATAAGGTAAAGGGGGGAATAATAACCCAAGCGGGTCAGAGCCGAAGAGGCAGCACCTCTCTGCCTGCAAAGCGGCCGCCGCCACCTGCGGCAGCAGCCCTGGGGCTCGGCTCTGCGAGTGATTTTCCCGTCTGAGGCCTTTGACTGAGACCAGATTTCAGGCCAGGCTGTTCAAATACAGCCCTCCCTTTGAAGAGGTTTATGAGTGGAGTGTTACAGGAGATATTCCAAAGGGAAAAACAATGAAAGGTGAGAGAAAAGGGAGCTGAATAAAAATACTCCGCATACCAAATCCTTCCAGCACAGTTTGCCACCTACTTAAAAAGGCACAGTTTTAAAATACACGTTGGGTGTAAAAGCCAAAAACCTGGAGGAGACGTAGGGAGGGGAGAGTCCAGCTCTCTTAATTCCAATACCAGATGAGGATGTATTTTCATTCGGTTGTAGAAAGAGCGAGACACATGAAAGAGCCTGCTTTGCTCCTTTCCTTTCAGGGTTACATACTATGTGGCAGATGTGTCAGTCTTTTAAAGCCCCTGCAAGTTTACCCATAAATGTCTAACATTTATGCAACACCTGTTTTTCTCCCGAAATGTCACAGGACATTTTACAAGCTTGAGATTTATCATCTTTTCACCGTTGCAGCCATTGCCGCGGTGACACATGGTTCACATTTAAACAGAACATTGCAACTCCACACATTATTTTAGGAAAGGGCTGAAGATTAACATTGCATCATGTGAAGATTCAGGAGTTAACAGCCAAGTAAAAGCTGGTTGCAGATCTTTAATGTCCGCGAACTGTCAAGACTGAGTTTCACTGCAATCCCACCACCCTCCCAAACGCGCTCTCAGCTGCACACAATGCTGTGAACCAGGCTGCGTGAAAGCAAAATTACTCCTCAACCCATATTCACTTCCATGCTGAGCCTTCTTATTTCATTTGCACGCTCCTGTTTTGTTGCCCTGAAAATCCACCAGGGACTTCCATGGAGGCAGTCGCTTAGGCCATGTTTTCCCTTTGCATTTGAGCATTAGCAGCAAATGACCTTGTGCATTTCTGCAGCGAGAGGGGAACAGAGCAGTGTGACTTATCTGACCAGCTGCCGACTAATCAGCACTGCTGCTTAGATAGGGAATAATGAGTATTTGCCCTGTGCTATTCACAATCGGGCTAGGGAGCTTAAAAGAAATCATTAAAGCTCTCTTTTGAATGCTACAAATGGCAGCGAATAAATTCGCTTATATTCTGAGCATAAACTGGAGGCAGCCGCAGTCAGCAAACGGGAAAAAGAGACATTCATCAGCCTAATTATTTGTTGGGCGCTAATTGATCAGCATCCCCCTGCAGCGGGAGGGAAGCCAGGGCTGGCCCAGGGACAAGTGCCACCCAAGGAAGCGGGGACACAAGTCCTGCAGTGCCTCATGGGGCAGGTGGGGAGCATGGGGCCAGTGTTTGGGTTTGCAGATGGGGCAGGGGACGGGGCTGCGCTGCTCACAGCTTGCCCTGTGCATGACCCAGGAGCAGCTTTGAGAGACAGGAAGGCCATTGCCGGCCAGCCTCCAAGGGAGAGAAAGCTTCTGTTGTGTATCTGGAGGGGATAAAGTCTTCCATGAAGGACAAAGCAAAATCCCATCTCCTTTTAATCTTCCTACCCTCCTGACCCAGCACAGGTTGCCAGCTCCCTTTTGCCTGGCTGCTCTAGGAAGCTGCTTCTTGCTTTGTATCCTGCCACAGATAAAAGAAGATGCTGGTTTTTAAAACATTAAATACGTGACACTGCTAAAGTGGGAAAAATAAATAACTTGGGCATAACCGGCTCTCACTGGGCTGGCGGCTGCCTGCGAGTTGCTCCTGGGGTGTGTGGTTGCAGGGAGAGAGGCTATGGCTATTTCTTTCTGATTCATCTCAGGAAATCTCTCCAGTCACTGTACTCCTTCACTTCTTTTCTCTTCCCATTCCTTTTTACAAGTTTTCCCTGGACAAAGCTGCCTAGAAAAGCCTTGCAGAAATGGAAATGTCTCTCTTTAGGCCCTGCTCACGTACGTTGTTCCAGGCTTCAAGCAAATCACAGATTTGCTTAAAATCTGATCCCTGAAGATTTAAACCCAAGAATTTTGCTGGTTTAAAATCCCCCCAAGTTAAGCCATTTGAAAAGGTGAACTTTCATCTGTCTTTCCTCTCTGCCTTCCCTTTTCGTCATGGAAGGGGTAAACCTACAGCTCCCATGAGAAAAACCTGTCTCAGTCAGTTATCACCCAGGTTTTCCCTCAACCACTTTGCCCCATAGC